TTTGAGGACCTTAGCATGCTTTTCAGAGACCTTAAAAAGGAAAGCATTTCCCACTCCTGCAGCTCCAGCTTTACAATGAGGGCTCAAATAATCGAGAAAAAAAGAAAAACACTAGTTTTAAATTTTAGATTGCAGACGAAGGTTTTTTTTAATCCAATACCCCGTTTCAAATCTTTTATGGAGGAAAGTGAGCACAAAGATTTATCAAGTATAATGGAGCAAACAATCATTATAATGGTAACCAAAGAGCGTAAATTCAATTTGTGACTAACCATGTTGGAATGATCACATTGCGGAGCACATAACGATTGAATGGCAATACGGCCAGCAGAGGATATATTGCCGTCATTTCTGGAATTGTCATGTGACATCAAAGTAAGGACAATATATTGTCAGCAACAAAGGAAGATGATCATCCAGATAAAGGAACAGAATGAACACATTCAAATATGTAAAAAACGAAAATTAAAATGAACTTCAGGCTACCCAATTGACGGATTCACATTTTCTTTTCCTGTTTCTTGTCTTTTGAAAACAAAATTTTCATATGGAAAAATAAGAGAGTGCACAAGGTTGCAGAGCAGTACAGATGAAAGAGGACCTCAACAAATAATACAACAATGTAGATGGACAAAGGACAAGTCCTCCACCCACATTATGAATATCCTTCACATATTCACATTTAATAAATAAAATAATGAATTCAATCCCTAATTCAGGCATTATATCAGATAAATTCCACACCTCTCACAATCTAGCAAAATCTTCTTGAATACCAAATCTGAAAATGGGATAAACCATTGATGAAATAAAGAATAATTCATTTCAGATTGGCCTGAAGTTCTTCTCTAGCATTTAGAGGTAGAAAATGAACTCAGGTAGTTACCATCGGCGAAAACTACATTTCATGAAAACGCTACATGATACAATTTGGTGCCTAATTATGTTTCCAAATCCAAAGAACCTCTACACTGAATAAGAAGATCCTATTTCTGTTTAACAAACTTTCTCCAAATATAAAAGAAGGATCTGTACCCAAGGTCTCAATCCAACTACTTCCATCTCCAGCCACCTCAAAAACAGATTAGCACTTCTTCGTTACATCAAACGAGAATAGTTGCTAGACATCTTTTACAATAAATTCAATTGAATATACTTTACAAACTAATGCAATGATTGAAACTGATACATTCTAGAGGGAAAAGTAGAGGTAAACATTACCTTGGAACTTGTGATAGGAATGTGGCGCAACGATCAAGAGTAGTAGAGAGACTAGAAGAATCTAGTAAACTAACACATTCCACATGCTTCCCGCTGAAAAAATGTCTGTCAAAGGGCTTTCGCAAATCAAAGTCATTGCAAAACTCGTATTTACCATCTGTACAAGCATTAAATAATTAACCCTATAAGAATAATATTGCACCCATATTAAACTTGTGTCAGGGAGAGTGAGCCATTGGGGGGGGGGGGGGGGG